CTGCTCTAACAATGACTGACTGACTTATAGTGAGTGGAGTTTTATACATTTACTAGCAATGTGCTCATGTTAGCTGAAATGAATGTAATGCTCTAACACTGTGATGCTGGAGCAGAGTTTGTGGTTTCTGTACACTTAAGTTATGCATGTAAATTTTTGTCAAACTCCATCCACCATAAGGCCACAGTCAGACAACAAAGAACACCCACTGATCCAGTGTGACACCCTTTGTGTCTTCCTGTTGCAATGGAAAAATATGACAACATTCAGGGTCAAAGTGGCCGATTCTACCACTCTAGATAACCAACCTTAAATCAAAGTATTTTTTTTTTTTTTACTCAAACACTTTCGTCAGATGGTAGCTCAGTGACATATTAATGATGCATATTTGCATCATTAATATGTCACTGTGCTGGTCATCTTTGGCGTAACATACGACAAACACTTTTGAAAAGCTGCCTGGCAAATCTAGTGCTGCTTCATTCTCAAGTTAAGTTAGAGGAACGTTTTTCTCATACCACGCAAATGCATCAAGACAAACTGTCAGTTTACATCAAGTGGCAGCCATGTATAGAAAGACTGCTGACTGAGTACAACACGGGAGGAGAAAAAATAAACAAACCTGGTATGTTGTTGGAACTGAACAACGCTTGATAGTGTACTTTCAGAGTGAGAGTTGAAGATCAAAACTCAAGCATCTCTGCTTATTTATTCTTAATATTGTTTAACAGTTAAAATAGTCAAATTGAAATAATCTGAAGGTGCCTTTCCTATAGCTAACAAGCAAAGATCTTTTTATGGCATAATGTATGCTTGAAATCCAACATGATTTTAAGTTTACTGTTCAGATTCACACGTAAGAAAATGTGTTTTCTTTTCTTTAAAAAGGGAAACAGAATAGTCATGATCGTGAAGATTTACAAAAATAGTAAAGGCTGAATATTACACAACTTCTAATTTGGATTAATGCTCTGCCTATCTGAAGATATGACGTATGATTTATGGGGGTTCACAAAAAATAATCCTTTATAAGAACTTTTAACAAAAGTCGATTCTTTGATTTTAGTCACAAATTCCTTCCAGTATTTTCTATATATTGTTAAAGATCACCATGCACCATGCTAAGTGTTCCACTCTGCTCACGTAATAGCTATGTTTTATATACACTCACTCACTTTATTAAGTACACCTTTTCAACTGTTAAATATGGCAAGCATCTAACTAGCCAACCACATGTCAGCAAATCAGTTTATTTAGGCTTTTAGGATATGGTTGTTGGTGCCAGTGACTTAGCACCAAGCTGGTCTGATTTCAGAAAGTGCTATACTGGGATTTTCCCGCACAAATACCTCTAGAGTTTATGGAGAACAGTCCAAAAGAGCAAAAATATCTATTGAGCTGCATGTCTCTGGGTGAAAATGCCTCGTTGATGCATGAGGACAATGATCAGACTGCTTCAAGATGACAATAAACACTTGCTACAACTGAGGTATGCAGAAGAGCATCTCTGAAAGCAGATGTACTACAGTGGCAGAAGAATAAAACGGGTGCCATTCCCGTCAGCTAAGAACTAGAAACTGAGGATATGATTGCCACAGGCTCACTAAAACTGGACAACAGGGTACTGGAAAAACATTATCAGACCTGAGTCTCGATTCCATTCGGATGATAGGGTCACAATTTGATGTAAACTGCATGAACCCATGAATGGTTCAAGCTGCTGGTTGTGTAATGGTGCTGTGGATATTTAGTTGTCCATCCCTTTATGAACATGGTCAGAAGTGTACCAATATTCTGATGGCTGCTTCCAGCAGGATAACGCAGGATGTCACAAATCTCAAATAATCTCAAAGTGGTTTCTTCAGCATCACAATGAGCACCTTCGGAATTTTGTAGAAAAGGAGATTTTCACCATGGATGCGCAAGAGAAATATCCAGCAACTGTGTTATCCTATCACAAAATCATCATCGTCATCATCAAAATCGACCAGCAAGGGGTCACACCCGGTATTAGCAAGATGTACCTAATAAAGTGGCCCATGAGTGTATATTGAAATAAAGTTGGTAATGTGGTCTTCTTAATTTCTGGCTTTAATATGATCTCACTGACATTTAATAAACTGATTTCTTCAATCAAGCTTTTTAATGTGATTCGTAACACTTGCCGAATGGCATATCAGTAAAAATGGAAATTGAGAGACAGAAAAGCAGTTCCCATTTGTTGATTATATGAAAGGTGAAAGTGATAGAGAGCGATGAGATCAGGTGGTAACATGGTTGTGATGGTAGTTCAGCTGACATTAGTTTGCTTTTGTCACACACAGACTTTGTTTAAAAAAAAAATCCAGGAAGAAGAAATATTGTGAAATGAAAATAAAATAAGTTAATTATGTCTCGGCCACTGCAGTCTCTCACAGTCTGCTCTCCTCCTCTCTGGGCTATCTGCTGCATTTACAACAACAATCATCTGTGGTTTTGTGCTCTGGGATTCTCTATCAAGGGAAACGGTGAGTCTGGCTGTCACTGTATTCAGTGATGACATAATTCCTGCCCAAAGTCACACTTAATTTACACTATAGAGGGAGTATGTACCTACCTAGAGTCAGACTTTAGTTACACTTGCACTGCAGTGGCGGCCTGGGGATGGGATGGAGAATGAGTGTTAATCACACAAGGAGAAGGCTATGTCGAGGGAAGACACAGAGGAACAGAGACAGCACTGCAAATATTGTTGCCAGACTGTTTTCCAAGCACATAATCATGTGAAATTAAGACTGACTCAAAAAATAGCCTTAAAAAAACACACTGTACAGTACTGTATGCATGTATGAAGGCAATAACCTGTTTTCAATCACTGTTTATAGCTTCATTGACTGTTTGATTCTTTGCTAAGAATGGCTACATACACACTGGTTCATTCTTACATGGTATAAAGATCGTATGATCTCCTGTTACCAATAATGAAATGTACTGATTTGGTCATGACCATTACTGAAGCCACAATATGTGCATACACTACATACAGCTCCTACTATATCTTCTAAAGAGGATATAACATCCAGCTGTATCCTACATCCTCTAGTTTGTAGTATGTAGGTCAGACCTATGCAGTTCATGTCGAACCCAATTAATATTTTATGTCCCTGCTTCTTGTACATATATGCGAATATACGCTGTGCATACACGTGTAAAAATCTGGCTCAGAGAGAATATTTGCAGAGCGTGATGGGGGGAACACAGTAAGACACACACAGTGGTACTGTTACAAATATCAGACCATGCATGGCAATGTAGAGCGAGTTTTACATACTGTGTCAACCGTAAAGAGAACACATGAGAGGACTGACAAGTGTTACCACATAAAAAACTTTCACACGGGTTATAGGAAAAGGCTTTTAGGAGTTACTTTTAGAGTTAGCGCGTCGCTCTGGTAATGACCGCGAGCACAGACAGAAACAACAGACAGGTCTGTGGTGGCTGGAAAAATATTTCTGGCAAAAGTTAACTTTAATCTGTGTCAAAATTAACAATATAAAACAATGGGGTAAAAAAGAAGCAGATGAAATGTCAACGAAGAGCATTTTTTTCCCTGTAAACCTCAGCATCGTATCTGTTTAAAGTCTCTAAATAAATTCTATACTTATCCTTCCATGAAAATGCCGCAGATTTACTGCACATAGTATGGATTTGCTAATAAGTATTAAAAAATCTAACACCAATTACCCAACACCTTGTGAACGGTAACGTCTGATGTTCAGGTAATTTGGACAACTATTTGGCCAAAACCGCACAGTTTACACAACAGCAAATACTCTGATATCACTGATACATTGTAGTTGATTACATGAAGTTTAAGAAATCTTATACCACTAATGAATTTATGTGGAATCATTAATTGCCTTGCATTATGCTTTGTCAGCAGCCCATTTTGTATTTACTTGGTATGAACTTCAAATGGCCAAAACAAAAATGTCCTCTCAGCCACATTTAAATCACTTTGTACCCTCGGTAATCACATCCTGTTGTGAGTGACTACTGAGT